TGAGGCTCCGTGTTCCCCAGAATGAGAGGCAGGAGGGGGAGGAGAAGAGAAAGAGAGACAGAGAGAGAGGCAGGAGGCGGAGGAGGCAGAGAGAGAGAGAGGGGAGAAGGCAGTAGGAGGAGGAGGAGAAGAGAGAGAGAGAGAGAGAGAGACGGAGCGAGAGACGGGAGGCTCAGAAGAGAAGACCAACGTGGAGAGACTTGAAAATCCCAACTTATGACGGGCTAATTGGCTAGTTAAGTATAAATAATATTAAACACATATTAGAGCAATGATGTGGCCTAGGATGGCCTCAACTTTATTCTAGTCCTGTTCCCTTGTGCTAAGTATCCCAGCACATCTTGGCTGTGTCTAAACTGGGCCACTTATTCCGGAAAAGCAGTCTCTTTTCCGGAATAAGCTGCGAGCTGTCTACACTGGCCCCTTGAATTTCCAGAAAAGCAGTGACAATTTACTGTAAGAAATCAGCTGCTTTTCCGGAAAAACTATGCTGCTCCCGCTCGGGCAAAAGTCCTTTTTCCAGAAAACTGTTCCGGAAAAGTGCCAGTGTAGACAGCACAGTAGTCTTTTCCGCAAAAAAGCTCCGATCGCGAAAATGACGATCAGGGCTTTTTTGCAGAAAAGCGCGTCTACATTGGCCACGGACGCTTTTCCGGAAAAAGGGCTTTTCCGGAAAAGCATCCTGCCAATGTAGACGCTCTTTTTCTGGAAATACTTATAACGGAAAACTGTTCCGTTTTAAGCATTTCTGGAAAAAGGTGCCAGTGTGGACACAGCCCTTGAGTTTGCTAAAGAAAGCTCTGGCTCGTAAATAGGAAAACTGTCAGGGTTAGGGCTTGTGAGAGAGCAGTCCTGTGGCACCTGACTGACTAACAAATAAATCTTGAGCTTTTGTGGGTAAAACCAGAAAGTGGAAAAAGAAAAGAAAAAGAAAGAAGAATAGAACCAGACAGTGGAAGAAAAATGCTCCTGTTGAGAAACCAGCCCTTTCCTTATGCTCAGAAACAGCTGTGGTGGGAGTGGTCACCGAGATGTTATATGTGTAGTGGTAATGGCAGAGGAGGTGTCTGCTACAGTTAGGTCCACAGGATGGAAAAATTCATGAAACCCAAGTGTAGAGTCAAAGCCAAGCCACGTTTGCAGATGTGCAGTTATAGCTTTGGTCAGTAGACAGGAACATTAATGTGTGCCTGGAAAAATACAAAGCCAAGGTGGGGGAGGGTATACTGTTTGTTGGACACACTTTTGAGAAGCCAGCAATACCTCACTGCTATATATACTGGACAAACTGGACAGTTCCTATAGGAAAAAATCATTGGACAGATCAGATACACGTAAAGGGAACACACAGAAACCTGTTGGGGAACACTTCAGTCTAACTAATCACTCTTTAAAAAATCTCCAAGTGGCTGTCTGATCACAAACCAATTCTACAAGTCAAATACAAGAGAGGTGTTGGAATTACTATTCATCTACAAGTTTAAATCTCATGCTAATGGCCTCAGTGGAGATGAGGGGTAGCTGGGACATTATCAACCTAACATTCAATTGAAGGTGCAAACAGCTCGTTGTCTGTGTAGATTCTCGCTATTGCTATCCTTTGATCCTTATCTGCTTCTTTTTAACTATCCAATCTTCAGGTGTTTATAGAGGCCAGTTGTGCCTATTTTTTTCCATTTGATATTTTCATACCCTCTGCTCCTTGTTTTCTGCCTCCCTTTTTCTTTTTTTCCTCCTTCCCCCATCTCCCTTCTCCCCTATTTATTTTGGGTCTGTACAAACATTATAGACATTATAGACATAAAATCTCCTAGAAGTTCATCCTGGTGCCTTAACCAGGAGCTCGGCCTTATCCCCAGCCGGAGGGATTGTTTGGTTAGAGCAGAAGGAAGGATTGCAGCTGGGCTGTCTGGCGGGGGCAGTTCATGGTAGGGGTCATGCAGAGCTTGGCATGGCCCTGGCCTGGCTGGGAGTGAAAAGAGGGCTGCAAGGTGGAATGACTGACAGCATCCCCCATGGGGAAGATAAGAGGGACTAAAGGAGGCTGGAGGAGTTACTAGGGGGCTATTGAAGCACTGACCAATAATATCTCTGCAATTCCTGCTCAGAGCTGGGCACTGGTGTCTGCCCATCTCCCAGCTGCTCATTGCGGTTCCCAGTCCCTGTCCCCGCCATGGCGCTGCTGCTTTCCTCAGGAATCTTCTCCAGCACGAAGGTGATGACGGGCACAGACATGAGGGCTGTGTCTAGACTGGCCAGTTTTTCCGGAAAATCAGCCACTTTTCCGGGAAAACTTGCCAGCTGTCTACACTGGCCGCTTGAATTTCCACAAAAGCACTGACAATCTCATGTAAGAAATCAGTGCTTCTTCCGGAAATACTATGCTGCTCCCGTTCGGACAAAAGGGCCAGTGTAAACAGCTCAGATTTGTTTTCCGCAAAAAAGCCCCGATCGCAAACATGGCAATCGGGGCTTTTTTGCGGAAAAGCGCGTCTAGATTGACACGGACGCTTTTCCACAAAAAGTGCTTTTGCGGAAAAGCGTCCGTGGCCAATCTAGACGCTCTGTTCCGACAATGCTTTTAACGGAAAACTTTTCCGTTAAAAGCATTTCCGGAAAATCATGCCAGTCTAGACGTAGCCGAGGAGTAGAAAGATCAGGCTGCAGTAAGTGGCCCAGATGGTGAAGGACATGGCTGGCCCTGCAACATGGAAAGGGCAGTGGTGAAGGCCCTGTACAAAGCAGTGTGTGGCCCTGCACTAGGCACAGAGCAGCTGCTGTGTAATGGGGGATCCCATGTGAGCTCTGGGAGGCTTGGCTCTAAAGGGGATCATGCTGCAGGGGACACATTTCCCTGTTGGGAAGCCTAAGTGATGGAGGCTGTTGGGGAGGCTCCTGCCTTTTCCTAGCTCAGCCCTGAGGGGTGGGAGGAGCAGGGAATGGCTCAGCTTTGCTCAGGCTGCACTGGGACTTGGTGCAAAGGCCTCACAAGAGTCACTGACAGACACAGCAGACCAGACTCTATCGCCCCTCCCAGTGTAGCTGGCAGCTCACCGTGGGGGCGACCCTGCCCTGGGCAGAGGGCAGAATGAGGCCTTGGCTCCAGTCGTCTGCTCAGGCGAGGTTGAAAGTGGGATGTGGCAAAGCTGTGGGGCATGGGCGGTGGGTATAAGAGGCCAGGGGAGGTGCCGCCTCCAACAGCCAGCCTGCCAGCTCTGGAGCACTGCCCTACCAAAAGAGTGCATGAGCTCTGCCAGCGCCCCACTTGTCCTCTCTCCCCAAGGCTCCACCCTTGCTCTACCCGTCCCCGCTCTGCTCACCGGGCCTTGGGGGGGGAAGAGACGCAAGCATGGGCAATGGGCTCTCAAGAGAAGAGGCATGAGAGGTAGGCGGGGGCTCTCTTGGGAGTGGGCCAAGCAGGGCTGGGGCTACACTGTGGGAGGGGCTTTGGTTGGCGGGAGGTGGTCAAGCAGGGCTTCCTTTTCCATGCTGCAGGGCCGGCCATGTCGCCGTGGCTCAGGGCGTGCCCACAGTCTGGGAGATGTGCTGCCCTCTGCCCTGGGGAATGGCACCAGCAGAGCCCAGCCCAGCCGGGGTCACTGAGCTGCAGGCCAAGGAGGTACCTGCCCCGGGGTGAGTTTGGCCCAGACTTTGTGCCCTGAGGGTGGGGCTGGGGGCACAGAGCCGGGCTCTGCTAACCAGGGTGTGACAGAGCAATCGCCCGTTACCTGGGCGGGTTGGCTCCTCTGCTCCTCCGCTGCTGCTCCCGCTGCCTGTGTGACAAGGGCAAAGAGATTCGCACCGTGTGGGAGAGACGCCTGCAGCCCCCGCAGGGATGCACCTCCCAGTGACAGACCTCCCAGTGACAGCGGTTCTGCCGGCTGCTGGGCCAGAGCCCCAATGGGTGTAAATCAGCCATTTATGTGCATAGGGCTCTGCCAGTTCACACCAGCAAAGGAGCTGGTCCTTGGGTCTGCCCCTGGTGTAAGTGATGCCCGGCCCTGGGGCTGCCCCACTGCACAGGCTGGGTTCCCTGAAGAGAGATGGGGCTGCCCCAGGGTAAGTGCTGCAGGCAGGGGAGTTACCTCAGGGGCGTGTTTGTCCCAGAGTCTCCATGCAGTGAGGGGAGAGCTGGGGGAGGGGGCAGAGCCAGGCTCAGATCCCAGGGTCTGGCTCGGGAGCTGTCAGAGCTGGGGGGTCTGACTCCTCGGCTCTGCTGCTCGCCTGCCTGTGCCAGGAGATAAGGGGAATCTAGGCCTGTTGGTGCCCCAGGTGACACTCGGTGTGTGAGAGACGTGGCTGTGATGGCTGAGCCCAGCCCTGCTCCGGTCCCATGGGACAGGGCTCTGCCCTGGGTGGGACCTCCCCAAAGGGGCTCCCTCCGGCTCCCTCAGACCCACCAAGTTCCGCACACTCCACCGGCCTTTGGCAGCCCTGTCACTGCACACCGAACCTGGGGGTGGGGTCATGCACTTCCCACCTGGCACCCTGAAGTCAGGGATGGCACTGAGCTATGAGGCAGGAGATCCTGTGCTGTGGGGCCAGCTCTGTCAGTGAATATTGTTAACGTAGGGGGTGCACTTCAAAGCTCCAGGTACTAGACAGCCGCTCATGCCCCTGCAGTTCAGGAGACAGCTCCGTGTGTGGACAATGAAGGGCTGCCCCAGGTCACTGGAGATGGAGCTGGGACTGGAGGGGAGGCTCTGTGATTACAAACCCCAGTCTCATATGTTTTGTCCCCACAGCCTTTCAGAGGGAATGTGCCAGATTTATGGGCTTAGCTCTGCTGTCTCTAACACTGACCACAGTCTGCTCCCTGAGCCAAGAGGTGAACCCAGGTGCCCTGCTGTCTTTCTAGCAGTGACGTTACACACTCACAGAGTGGCTGTAATATCTCTGTGTACCCATGGAGGAGATCAGCCTGCTTTCCCTTCCCCTTGTCCCTGTCACTTAGCCACCTGCCTTGGGTTTCTGTGCTGTTACATGGACAACTGTGCTCATTAGGCTGTTCACCCCCCTTACTGGTGATGCTGAGGTGCTTCCCTGGGCTGAGCTGGGATCTGGCCACCTGGTTGTCACCGTCCTTCATCTCATACCGACAGGAATTGTTTCTGGAGCTGTACACCACAGAGTCACATTCATACGTGAGTTTCCCCAATGAGCCCTTCTGGGACAACATCTCCTCCCTGTCCTGACAGAGGATGATGCAGGTGGCCAGAGCCTGGGAGATCACGGAGCACTGGTGCCGCATGGAGTCCCCCCACCAAGCAGACATCTGACTCAGGTAGAGAGTGGGGGAAGGAAGAGCACCTGGAAAGGGGAATTGGTGAAAGCTGTTACTGGGGCTGTTGGTGGTGCCTGTTTCAGGGGCAGCCCAGGGAGCAGGTTGCTGAAGGAAGCAAGCTGCCGGGGAAGCAGCGTGAAGCTGGTAGATGGTTAATAACCCTCCCCAAAAGAGGTTTTGTCTTTAAAAATGGAAACTTTGGAAAAAAACGAAACAGGTCAGATAAAAACTCTCATTTCCAAAGATCTGTCATTGTGAGCTCACTGCCCTGCAGCTGCTCTAGCCCAGGGTGACCCAGGGGCTGTGGCTCAGGCCAAGTTTGTAACTCAGGCAATGCTGTCCGCAAAGGCTTGATCCAAAGCTCCTTGGTCAAGTTTGTAACTCAGGCAATGCTGTCCACAAAGGGCCTGATCCAAAGCTCCTTGGGGTCAATGGAAGGAATCTACTAACAGCACTGGGCTTGGGATCAGGCCCCCATATAAGGGAGTCAGTCTTCTTGTGATAGAGAAATGGCCCCAGAGCTTTCACCGGGAGTGACCCCAGCCCAGCCGGGAAAGTCCCACTTTGGGCGGGTGCAGCCGAGAATGATGGTGGGATCATGAACTGTGCAAAGCAGAGTGTGAAGAAGGGAACTCACTTGCTTCCCAGCCAGAACTGCAAGTGTAGCTGAAATGAAGCAAGAACATCCCCAGTTCTCCTCCTGCTGCAGAGACTCTGCGACTGTGTCATTCAGACCCTGAACGGAGCAGGGAGATGGCTCACCCGAGAGAGATGAGCAGGGCCTCGGGACACCAGTGTTTGAACAGAGACTTTCAGAATTATGCATGATTTGGGGTGTGTAAATTAAACCACATTGAAGGGGCAGATTTCCTGCAAGGAGGAGGGGGCACCACAGACCGTCACCCCTTACAGGCTCCCAGGTGGGACTCCCAAAATCATCAACCATTTTGGAAGATTTGGCCAGAAGTACTTACATCAATGATGTACGTGCCGAATCTGGGTGTGAGATCAGCTGCAGGGATGGGAGGGACTGTGTCCCCAATGGCCCAGTCTGCCCTTGGCCCTTGGGTGAGACTGCAATCCAGGGCTCTCTGAGCCAGCTGTGAGGGGTGGCACCACCACCCTATACAGACACTGAGTGGCCAGGCCAGTTCTCAGCTGCCCCTGCCTTCATGCCAGG